TGTATGATTTCACATTCTTGAACTGTAAATCTTGTTTGTATCATTTAATGCTAATTCTTTGGTTTTCTTTTCTTCAACCAGTACTTTCATAATGAAATAATGCAATGATTGCATAATTTAGTAATTACTGTTCCACGTTTTCACTTTAAGCACTGTTCATTAAAGATGATTAAGAATACGGTTGTTTTCATTTCACCGTGAAAGAGTCAGGCTATTAGTTGGTATCAAACTTCTTTTCGTGATTTCAGTTTTGGAACTTTAAAGTCCAGTTTTTGAAATAAACTAAACACATGCAAAAGGCAGCACTCAATAGCTTTAGTGTTTAAGTTAGGCTAGCCTAAATAAATATTCCCTGGTTGCATATTGAGAMAATAGCTTAATAAAGCGCTCTGTCCAGTTTGTTGATTCTCAAGGAAAGCAGAAAGTTAAAGAAACTCAAGGAAATCTACGTACCTTTTACGACTTGGTTTGCGAAGAAAAGAAACCACAGAAAATATATAAAATCCTGATAAATCATTTGAGTAAACGTTTTGGCTGTGTGATATAATTGAATCTAATCGATTCTCATAAATACTTAATAATCTTAAAAGAAGGGCAGACGAGCATAGCTATTAATATATTAATGACAGCGAGTGATGCTATAACATGGTATTTTCACGAGTGAAAATAACACATTCGAGGTTTCTCTATATAGTGGAAGTAAGAAAAAAGGTATTTAACGYSATAATTTGCTTTCATAAACAATTATTTGATAAATAGAATATTACATGTTCGCTTGGAGATACGAATTTTATCTTCTCGTGTTTTCAACACTCGAAGGTTGTTTTCAACACTCGAAGGTAAAATCAATATCTCCGCGCYCCCATGTAATATCCTCTACCTATAACATGTTTCAATAAAAACAACCGAKTATAGAAAATCGATATAAAATTGAGTGGATTATTTCAAAAGTCATACATAGTAAATGTTTAGCCCGTTATAAAAGAACTTCACTTTTGCTAAGATAGGGATTCCGCTACAAATTTGCTCAAAATTTCCTTAATAACTGTACAAACTTGAATATATATTCCCATTTCTCTCTGATTTATCAGATAATCACATTTAGCTCTCTTCCTGAAAGTTTAAACACCATACCAACTTTWTTTATRTCCTCTAAAWTAGATTTCTGTAATTCTTTGCTCTATGGTCTTCCAAAGTCCTCTATAAACAAGCTACAACGCGTGCAGAATGCGGCAGCAAGATTAATTTCTTTTACCCGCAAATGCGATCACATCTCGCCTATTCTTTACAACTTACATTGGTTGCCTGTAGAGCAACGCATTGATTATAAAATTKTTTTAATTACCTTTAAGATTCTTAATGGAACTTCTCCTTCTTATCTTTCTAATCTTATCGAGCCTTATAAACCCTCACGTTTTTTAAGATCTTCATCGGCCAACTTYRTGTTTAAACCATCTTTTAACCTTAAATTTTATGGCAGAAGATCTTTTTCTTTTGCAGCTCCTGAGCTATGGAACTCCATCCCCGAGAACGTCCGTGGAGCCAAATCAATTTGTATTTTTAAAAAGGAAATTAAAACTTGGCTTTTTAAGAAAGCCTTTTCACTTAAATAGTTCTGTATTGTTAGTGATAAATAATTATTATTGTATTAGTGTTTTATGCAAAATTAAAAAAAAAGTATGTGATTTTGAAATCTTATTTTACAAATAAACATTATTCTATATCTTTTTTCATAAATTTTTATAACTATTTTTATAAATTTTGTAAAGCGCATCAGAACTTCATTAATATTTTGCGCTATATAAATACTATTTATTATTATTATTATTATTATTATTATATATAATATATATAATATATATAAATACTATTTATTATTATTATTATTATTATTATGCAAGATGGCCAAAATGCTAATGAGATGTTTCTGGACGCAAATTTGAATACGTCCTTTCTTGAAATCCCTGAGGAGCTAACATCAACACATGAGGGATCATTGCCTGACTATGAGCCAGTAAACAAGCCATCAAGAGTTTACTGGGGCTGCAAAGCCGACGGAGAAGATATTTGGATAAACACATCAACAATTATTGATGCTTATAATGAAGTAACAACTTGGCGAAAAAACACTTTTCTAGTTCCATATGGGAAAATAGGGCGAGAGTTTATCGATCAAATAACGAAACACCTCGATGACTGGAATAACAAACGACAAACAGAGCACATTGCCTTAACGGCTGCTATTGTTCTTCTTGCCCTCGCCTTGCAAAAGCCGAATAAAAATTCCAAATCAAAAGATCATCAAGAGTGCTTATCAAGGAGGCTAGCATTGTGGAGAGAAGGTAATATCGACACTATTTTGCGTGAGGGGCGAATTATACAAAGGCGCCTAATGAAATCAAAAAAATCAGAGGATCCTCCAAACAAAGCTAAGATCTTCGCCAAACTGGTTATGGAAGGGCAAATAAACTCTGCCTTTCGTTATTTGAGTGAAGAGTATTCCTGTGGTGTTCTTCCAGTGACAGATGACGTAATGAAACAACTCGTGGATAAACATCCTATTSCACAGGAAGCCCAACTAGGATGCTTATTATTTGGCCCAATTGAAGATGTCCCTAGTGTTGTGTTCAATCAGATCGACGGTGAGATGGTGAAGGAAGCAGCATTGAGAACTAAAGGATCAGGTGGCCCTTCAGGGATAGATGCCAATGGTTTCAGAAGACTGCTCGCGTGTAAATCTTTCAAAAAATCTAGCAGGAATCTATGTGATGCCATAGCGACCCTCGCAAAGAGGCTCTGTACAGAGCATGTCGATCCCACTACCATTCAACCAATCTTAGCCAGCCGGCTGATTCCACTTGACAAAGGCAACGGTGATGTTCGACCGATCGGTGTTGGGGAGGTGATCAGGAGAATAATTGCCAAATGTGTAACCAGAGTAGCCAAACAAGAAATTATCGAGACCAGCGGTTCCCTGCAGGTCTGTGCGGGTGTAAAGAGCGGAGCGGAAGCAGCTATACACGCAATGCATGACATATTCGATGCTGATGATACAGACGCTGTTCTTTTAATAGATGCATCTAACGCCTTCAACACATTGAACAGATCGTCGGCCTTGAATAATGTCGCTGTTCTGTGTCCAATTCTAGCGAAATATGCAGCCAATACCTACAGAGCTCCAGCACGACTATTTGTCGCCGGTGGAAAAGAGCTTGTATCTGAAGAAGGTACCACTCAGGGCGATCCGTTAGCGATGTGCTTTTATGCTATAAGTCTTCAGCCCCTCATATCTCACCTCAAGAATTCCACCATTGCAAAACAGTGTTGGTACGCTGATGATGCGACAAGTGCAGGCTCAATTTACGATCTTAGAAAATGGTGGGATGAACTGAATGCTATCGGGCCCGGATTAGGATACCATCCTAACGCAAAGAAGTGCTGGCTCGTGATCAAACCAGAAAAAGAAGACCAGGCGAGGGAAGTTTTCGGCGACACATCAATAAACATATCAACACAAGGTCAAAAACATCTTGGTGCCATTCTTGGATCTCGTGCACATCTGGAAGAG